ATGAAAGATATGGGGGTTGCAGATGTTATATTAGGAATGAAAATTACTAAAACATCTGACGGATATGCATTATCTCAATCTCATTATATTGAGAAAATTCTTGATAAATTTATCAAGGATGATATGAATTTAGCTAGAACACCTGTAGACGTCAATCTTTATTTATCAAAAAATAAAGGTGATGCGGTGTCTCAGTTAAAATACTCCCAAATCATTGGAAGCCTAATGTACCAAATGAATTGTACTCGTCCTGATATAGCTTATGCTATCAGTAAATTGAGTAGGTACACTAGTAATCCCAGAGAAGACCATTGGAAGGCGATCATTCGGGTTCTTAGATATCTAAGATTTACTCGTGATCATGGTTTGAACTTTACTCGATATCCAGCAGTACTTGAAGGTTATTGTGATGCAAATTGGATATCGGATACTAAAGATTCAAAATCCACAAGTGGATATGTCTTTACTCTGGGAGGCGTTGCTGTTTTTTGGAAATCCACGAAACAAACATGCATTGCGCGATCCACAATGGAATCCGAGTTTATTGCTTTAGACAAAGCAGGAGAAGAAGCAGAATGGCTTCGTCACTTCTTAGAAGACATTCCAATGTGGCCAAAACCTGTGCCAGCTATTTGCATTCATTGTGATAGTCAATCTACAATATGCAGGGCACAAAATCACATGTATAACGGTAAGTCACGACATATTCGTCGTCGACATAATACCGTTAGGCAGTTGTTGTCAAATGAAATAATCTCAATAGATTATATAAAATCTAAAGAGAATATTGCGGATCCATTAACAAAAGGTTTGGCAAAAGAGCTAGTGTATAGTTCATCAAAGGGGATGGGATTAAAGCCTATTACATAAGAGTCGTCATAATGGTAACCCTACTTATATGACTGGAGATCCCAAGAACTAAGTTCAAAGGGACAACTAAGTTAAGTATGGCTCGCTAGAAATCACCAAGGGATTAAAAATCCCTACCCATTCCTATGGTGAGAGTGATATCTGCAACATATGTTGTATGCAGGGGTACAAGGATAAGCTTTGCTTTTAATAATTACTTATATCTTGATTAAGGCATAAAATCAAGACGAGTATAAGGAGATACTCACAATAAGAATCACCTATATGAGTGTCGAACTGGTGTCAGTTCTATGAGAATATAAGAGGCTAAATTCTCTAGAAACACTTATGAAAACCAGGAGCGTTCAAGGCCAAAATGAACACAACAGTGAGAACCAGGATGTGTTAGAAGATATTTTATGTGAAATCTATTGTCTTGGCTTACACAAACGGCTGAACAACTCAAGGCATAGCGTCCATTGGTTATCTAGTAAGTCTGATAGGTTATCACTAGGAAAGGTTCAAGGCCGAAAGCTACCTATCCTGATGCAAAATATTTTCGACTTATACTCTTTCAGTATAGTCTGCATATTGTTGCATTTCCGTTGTCATCAAATTTCATTCATGTGGGGGATTGCTGGAAACGGTTTGGAAAAATTCCAGGTAAAGCATAATTTTTTCCTAACTTTGGTCTATTTTTTAAGTGGGCCCCGTGCGTCAATTTTCACGGGTCAAAGTGGTAACGCGTTCTATGTTGCGTTGTGATTCACATGGTATATTTGGTTGCTCAAAACCATTACCGAGTGAATAGAAAATTGAAGCCAAAGTATGCTCCATGGAAATGGAGTTTTGGTGGAAAATCCTTAAAGGTTTGAATAAGACTTGTCTAAAAATTGATTTGGTGGGAAGTTGTGAATGGGTTTATAAGGCATGGGTTTGGTACTTGGGGTGTGCCCCAAGGGGTACCTAAGTGTTTTAGAGAGGGAGGTTATGGGCAAAATGGGCTAGATCCATTGGACCCAAAAATCACCACACGCGCGCGCGCGCCGCCGTCGTCCGTCTGGCTGGGCTGGGTGCGTGGTGTGTGGTTGGGTTGGGCTTGTTCGGCCCAATACCTATCTTTTTGGGCCAAAAACATTTGAATTAAATTTTATTTTTTTGAAAATAAAATCCAGAATTCAAATTAATTCTAGAATTAAACTAGTCCGGTTTTTTCCTGTGCACCCAAACAAGGCCCTTCCCGTTTTATATGTTCAAATTCAAATCCATTTGAATTTCAAACCAAACAGTGCCTTAAACAGATTTGTATCTGTTTAATTCAAATTGAACAGGTGCTATACCTGTTTAATTCAAAATTTACAGCCACCATTCCATCTATAAATAGACTAGCCCCTCATTTGGATTCATTCACTAATTTCGTCCATAAAATTCTGCATGCATAATCTTCATTTTGTTGCATTATTTTCTTGTCAGAGAGAGTATAAACACTTAGTGTGTTCGACGAACAAATAAATTATAGTGCTGGTTTTATTCGTTGATAGATCATTTCATCCTGGGAGATAGACCTCCATATTCTGAAAGCACCGAGGAGCGGACGAATCTGTCTTGAGGACACGGTGTCAAACACTGGACTTGATCAGATATTTATTTGAAGAAATTAATCAAGTAAGTTGTTTAATTTATTATTCTATTTATTAAATCAGATTTTAATTTTATTTTTGTAACAAAATAAAATCTGTTTTTATTTATTTATTTCTAGTTTGATTTTTGTAATCAAACAAATTCTCTCCTTTCCTTTATTTCTTTATATTCTTGTTGTTGTTTAGTACACAATAAATTTAATCTTTTTTAAATACAGTGAAGATTGTCCTACAAAATCTACAACACTTCTATACAAAAATAAGAATTAAAACAAATAAATAAAATAAATTCAAAACTATAATGCAGGATAATTTTTGGAGGGAATGTTAGACAACAGTCACATGACTCACATTGCTGAGACAAGCACAAATAATACTATAACAATTGAACACAGACGTTCACAAATTAAAAAGAGACCAAACAAAACCACAATCAATGGTAGGGTGAAAATTAGGATAAATTGAAAACCAATTACAATTATATTTTTCATTCATATGCTACCAAAAGCGCAAAAAAACTAATTTCCAATGCTATGTAAATTGTAAAGGACAATAGCCTTCTATAAACCAAATGCATCGCAGTAAGTAGCATAAACAAATGCTCGAGTTACTTATCTGATTGAGTGATGAATTGACCTTTGTAGAACATTAGTGCTGATTGTTCAGTTCTTGTTGTCTGAATCCTTTGATAGAAACCAAACTCTCCACATAGTGAAAAGCTTCGAACAAAACTCCATGGATTGGAATATCTTTAATCTCTCCATTTCGGGGGTTGTACAAGAATATCCTTCCCCGTACATCTGCTGCTATAATCTCACAATTCTTCATGCATTGCAAAAACCAAAATCGATCAACACCCAAAACCGGTCCAATCACAAATTTCTTACACCAATTGCTCTCACCGCCGCAATGATCCTCTATCATCCATTCATCAACAAATGGGTTGCCAGGACAACACACAACCACAGCAGCATTATCTTTCCAATCCATTAGTTTCCAGTGGACAGAAGTCTCGATGTAGAACCCAGAAAAATCGAGCCCCGGCAACATGACAAAAGCCTCATTTTGAACCTCAAACCATGTGAAGTAATGCAATGATTTGAAGGAGTTGAGAGTAACCAATAGGGAGATCCATTGACAATCACCTCACAAGACAATTTACGGATATAAAAGCGCAAATCCATCACCTGAATCTCTCTCCAACAATCAGAAATTGAAGAGTAGACGACCTCGACTCGGGTCTGTAAATTGAAAGAAACTATCCTGACGACCTTGTAGTCACTGGAAGAAGTAGTAGAATGGAATCGGAATCCGAACCTGTGAGAGGGGAGAAAAAAACCCAAGAGGAATTTGGATGGTGGGAGAGGGGAGAGATTTGAAGAGTTTGGTAGCGGGGTTCTAGAGGAGGAGGATGATGCATCGATGGCAATGGAGTGGATGGTTCGACAGAGAGAGATAGAGACAGAGGAGGCCATTGATGGAGCCGATTAGGTGTAGATTGCGAGTGCGGTTAGAAAAGGGGTGGACCAGATTGTTAGGGTCTTGAGACGATGAAGGTGAGGTGGCGGAAGGTTTTGCATACACACCTGAATCGAAGGAGACATTTGATAAGAAGATGATTCAGAATGTCGAAGATGATGTCCATGGGGAGATAGAGATTGTAGTCCGAAGACGATGACATTGCATCATCGATAGCCTCTGTATTTCTTTCTTGATTCGCCATTTTTGCTTCTTTTCAAGAATGGGAATAGAGAGAGAAAAGAGAAGAGAGAGGAAGGGTTTTCAGAGAGGTTTTACACAAGATCAAGAAATGAATAGAGACCCCAACCAACTCCAGATAAAGTGGGTTAGTTAGTTCGTGCAGTTTGTATGTAGTGCCCCAAAGACAAGTTATTGGTGATTCTTGGGCCACCGTTACTTGACATTTTAAATTGGTGGAAGGATATAATTCACAAATTTATGTTGAGTGATTAAAAAATATGAAATGATATGATAAATTGTTATTTTTGAGGGGTTATAGCGATCCCGGCTTTACTCTTGTCGTACAGTGATCCGGACATGTGCCCGTGGATGTTGGTAGTTGATCTTTATCTCGTTTACATCCCTTCTTACTTTGTATTTGAGTTATAGGATGTGTTGGGCAGGTTTGTTACAGGTTGGTTAGGCCTTGGTTTCAATTCCTTGTCGCCCAGTTTTTAGGCGTTCCGCTCGAGCGGGTCTTCTTGCGCTCGAGCGGGTATTGCACACCTCCAGTATTTCGGGTTTCTGCAAAACTTCTGCAAATGTGATTTCTGCGCTCGAGCGGGTTTGTTTACGCTCGAGCGGTGGCGCTCGAACGGGTCGTTTGGCGCTCGAGCGGGTAGTACTTTCTGGGTGTAAGTTCTGGGAGGTGGAAATCTGCGCTCGAGCGGACTGGTTTTCGCGCTCGAGCGGAAGTGCTTTATTCTTGTGTCTTGGCACTCGAGCGGGCCTTATTACGCTCGAGCGTGTCCAGAGGTCTAAGCCCAAATC